CTGGAAATTGGCTGTAGGGAGGTCTACACAGCTCACGTACCAATTCTCCTGAGATTTCCCAGGCAGATTTGACACATCAAGAAACGTGATCCAAACTTCTGGTTATTCAAATTGGGTTGTTTGAGGCTTGCCCAATGCTAATTTTCAGCCTGGAGCACAAGTAGGAAAGAAATCAGAGGCTGATTGCACAAGGCCTAATCATGTGAGGAGGTCTGGTTGAATGACATCAGTCCATCACTGGGATTCCTCATGTAAGTAAAGCTTGTAGAAACTCCAATTCCGTATCTGCTGTTCCTGATAACAAACTAGAAGAGCTGAGAGCCAACAGTTATTATTTAACCGAATGAGTATTTATCTGGCAACTCACTGCCTGCGTTAGAGATGCATGTGCGTGGAAAAGCTGGCTCTTGTCTTTGGAAATGCATTCACACACATGTCAGTGTGGAATCAGCTTAGGTAATGGGTGCCCTTGTTTATCTGGATTGGGATTTTAACAACATTGTTAACATGGTTTCTAGGAAGGTGTCACTTGTTAGAGCAGCCTTAAGAGACGAGATCCTTTGGCCCACCCCATTGTAAATGTGCCAGAAAAGCATTCCTACAGCACTGCATTGGGCCAAAAAGAGGAGACAAAAGCCTTGCCAGTCAGCACCTCACTCCTGCAAGAACTGAGGGCAAGCCACAGCCTATGGCAGGATATTTGGAAGCCTACTGAAGGATGCTGGTGTGGATTTACGGTCATTTCTGCACTGGCCGATATGCTAAACTGAATTGTGTCGGCCTTAATACTTTCAAATAACACATTTTTTGGGAGAAAACTATGTAGAGTTTTGTCTGCTAATTTGCTTACTAACTAAATAAATCAGGAAAACAAGTGCACCTGCCCCCCAGATCCACACGTTGGAGTCCCCATTAAGAATGTGAAATCATGCCTGGAAATCAGGAAATTTTTAAAAAACTGGGGAAAAAAAAAGTGTAAGTGGCTGGGATTTTTCCAGCAGATGGAAAGGAGATTTACATCTATATCAGCTTCAGCTCCTTTTGAAAATACTGGCTCTAAAGATGTATTCAATACCCGCATGCAGAATGATTCTACCTGTAGTGCACATAAACTAAAGTTACAGAGGTTTTGGGCATGAACAGGCTTGAGTCCAGAGGTGGTGGTGGTCTCCTGACCACAGCCACGTACCGCTCATGGCTTCAGCCAGTCAGCAAACTGACAGCCTTGCTTTGTATCAAATCTCAAAAGCCATAGCTGACTTTAATATGGTACAAATATGGAGTTGGGATTTCCTTTAGAATTATTTAACCAAATTTACTGTAATTTTATGGTTCTATGTATTTTTAAGAGAGAAGGCTATGGGGGAAAAGAAGTCAAATGGCTCCAGATGTTTCAAATTTTGCAGTCTTGGAAATAAGAGAAAAACCTGTATATCTTCTGATTTAGTACCATCAACCTAGAGGGCTTCTGAGTACACCTACAGCCAGTTTCTTTGGCTTCTGGGGTAAACAGAAGCTGTCCATTTTTGTTTGGCAATTTATCTTAGAATGCCCATGTTCATGGTTCCACTGATGGTTGGTCTTTGCTTAATTACCGCTAAACTGTTAGGCAAGAATTAACTGGATGCTCCTGTTTCTCTGTTTAGGCAAAAAACACTTGTCAGTATTCACTGTTGCTATGCAAAATCTGTTTCATGTGAGATAAGTGCACATCTAAGTGGCTGGTATCTTAAAAAATGCAGTGATCAGGATGGAAGGATGGTAGGTAGCATTTTATTTTTCACAACACATTTGATTGGTAAGTTCTTAACACCAAGAATTGTTAGTTTAACCTTAAAAAAAAAAAAAATTGAAACCGGTTCATTTTTAAGGTAAGAAACCAGAAGCTGACATTTTTTTGCTGTCTTTACACTCCTTCACTTTTTTCCCCACCCTTTATAGCTGGGACTCCTGTTAATTCTGTTCATCAGGTACGTGCACTGCTCTTTGAAATTAATTTATTGAAATACTGGAAGTAACTTTATTCTTGACTTTTCTGATTTTTATGTATTATGTGAAAAAGCTACAGAGCTGACACCAGCCTTAGATATCAATTCTTTT